GGAAGTTATGAATTTCCCGGTCAAACACACATACAGACAGAAAAACGCACACACACATACACACACCAACAGACAAACTTAGCGGATTGTATATAGTAGGATGTGCAATGGTTGTTATCTAATAAATACACTATCGAGTATATTGATCTGTTCTCTCAGTATTTTTCTTAAGAAAGTCTTAGTCTAAGTCCGTGTAAAAAACTTAAAAACATTGAAAGCCATCAAATGCTTGTTTGCATTATTATACAGCAAATTTAAAAGTACTTTCATATCATCAGTAACTGTTTTATGGCTCATCTTTGTGGAAACATCTACAAAATCCGCTGCATATTTTTGATGGTCCGTCCACATTCAATGCTAAGTTTCAAACCGAATTATCTTTCAGTTGCATCGAATACGCTGGTGACAACCATACACAATGGGAGCATGGTCATCAATCAACGACACTGTATTTAATTGCGATTTTGTCGAAACGCACTGCAAATCAGGCAATGAAACCAGACGATATATTCACATGCAGATAGCAGAGCAGAAGTGAGATCTTTCCACATATAATAATTTCTAGGGTGGATATTACTTGTTATATGCTGGAAGACTCAGATAGCATCGATCGGTTCTTCTGTGATGGGTCATACATTGAAAGCTCATTTTTATTGGTTAATATTCGTCTCCTTGAGTTCCGGTATCGACACCATTTCTTGCAATTTTCGTGAGCATTCGCAGGAGAAGCAGACCTGTTTGCCATGCACGCGTTGCTTGGTTGGACACAGACTCTACTTTTGCCGGGGTAAAAAAAAGGTAAAATACGTGCCCTTCTCAAAAAGTCTGGTCGCGGCGAAAGCTTTTCCCTTCCACTCTTGTTTGTTTCTACGTAAAGAAAGGCTTTTTGTAGGAAGATGCAGAATCCGTGGGTCTCTTAAAGCTGAGATAAGCCCATAGTTTGAAGACACATTTAAAGGTTGCAAATCCTGAGCGGTGAGAGTTGGGTAAGACCTGTTAGGCTATAACTGGTCCACCAGTAGAATACTTTTGCAGGAATTGTTCGACTTGGGGGTGCCCTTCGACTGTGAATGGAGCTCGTGCGTTCGCACAGCTTTACACGACTTTACATATTTCACAAGAAGGCAAGGTCAGCGTGTAGATATATGGGGAGAGAAAAGATCATCGGCGGCGCGCAAGCTGTGCGCGAGAGGGCAATGGCTGTTGACAGATGAGGCTGGACAGTGGTGGCCAATGCTGCTTTCACCCCTCCTTAATGGAAGTAGACTCCGTGTTTGGAAGTGAACTCGATGGCACATTGTCATCCCTCTTATATCTTCAGTCGAACGCCGGAAGCATTTAACATTCTCTCCTTCCCTAAATGTCCCCATGCTGTTTAACATTTATCTGTAGCGTTCAAGATAGTTTCTAGTCTCCTCAGTACTCGGACGGGAAGCCAGCCCCACCCGCTTTGCCATGCTCATGCTGCAGCGACACCAAGCATGTGCCGCATAGGCGTTGCCCGTCGGCTTTTTCGTGGAATAAGTTACGATTCAGTCCTATTGGCGAGCTCCTGGCGTCCTTACTAGCTGGATGTGCAAAAGTGGAGCACATGTGAATAATATTCCACGCACCCTGAAAACTTTGGCAATACTCACCCACAAACTCTGGCAGCGATCCAACAAAGGGATAGAAAATGAAATAGCTACGATGAAATCTACTTAGGTCAGCAACGGATAAGAATCTCGACCCGCAGAGAAATCCCGATGTGGTGTTAATGGTGATTGACTCCGTGGCATCAACGCAATTTATAAGGTCATTTTATTTATTTTTCTTTCTATCGTTACAACACGGAATAGTTGTATAGTGAAAAAAGCCATTTTCCAGAGGTCTACCGAGAACAGTGAATTTTCTTCTGCACGGAATGGAAGCCATAGAGTTCCGCAAGTTCAACAAGGTTGGATCTAATAGCAGGCCGAATGCGTTCCCCGCTTTGGTTGGTGAGTGTTATATTAAATTAGCAAAAGTAGGCTTGTGTTTGACGACGAGAACAACTTGGAAGTGTTTCTTAAAATCTACTGAAATTTGAGGATTTGTATTTTCGGCCGAACTTACACTGCCCCCTTATGGAAAGCGTTGACTCGAGTCCTGGCTGTTGTCTGCTTTAACGATGCAGAGGAATAGGGACCAAAGCGCGATTCTGACATGCTGTTGACGAACTGGAGAACTACTGACGTCAAATAAAATTTTTCCAATCTAGGACGCGTTATCTGTAGTGAAATACCGTTTCCAACTGCATATTCAGCATCAGAAAACAAACTCCATAATGGCTCAAAGTGGAGTTGAAATCAAGTAGTATCAGTACGGCAAAGGATTGAGAAGTGTAGGGGAACTAGTGGATGCAAAAGCTACCGAACTGGCCGGTCTACAAAACTAATTTTAGAAAAGCCTTGCAAAATTATGAGAACAAGTGAATTGCGAGTGCACAAACAGACCATTTGGCAATACCTCTACGTTTATGACCAGTTCACTCAAATAATCGCTTCTAGCCTAGGAAAAACCACGGAAGCGATAGTAAGAAAGCCAATGAACTTGCCCACAATACCAGCTGATTTGACATACGACCAGTACTGCAGACGTTATCTCGATAATGAATCCTACGTACCACTCATGTACAAGAAAGCTGGATATAAGGTCGATCTCAACAAGTCGAGTAATTCCTAGGTAGTTTTGTAACGAAGCGACTGATTGTCACATTTTACAGATGTTCGGTGCTGAGGACTACGTGACGAGCATTCTGAATTATCCAAATTGCCTCGGAACGAAGGCACGACAGTTTCAGCATTCGTTCAGGTTTTGTTGCTTTAACGTTCCCCCTTGCTTTGTACGGATTTTCACAATCAGAGTCGTCAGCGAAGAAATGGGAGGAGAAAATTCTGAGATACTGGGAGTAAACACATTTTTCTGAGGATTTCACTTCTCCTATAGTCATGTAAATTGGAAGGAAAAAACACGCTCCAACAAGGCTTATCCGGGTCATTCTCGCCAGTCTCTCGCCGAGGGACATAGCGCGTTCCCTGAAGATGGGATGGGTTCAGGCTTTCCTACGTCCACGCCAGCAAAGCTTGCCTAAGGAGCTTCTGGAGACAAGTTGTGCACTAACCTCCAGAGAAGCTCCTTTCCCATGTGAGAGGTGAGTGGGTCTACAGCTGCAGCACGCTCCACTTTTTTCGCTTCCAAGTGCACAGGTTGGGGAATGGCTGTACTCAGGTTCTTCTCCCGTCTTCGTCCGCGCTATCCTTGAGGAAGAGCACCGCATGGATAGCAAAGCTCCACAGCGAGTACAGTCGAAAGTAGAGAACAGCTATAAGAGAGAGGGCACAGACAAGCAGCGCACCTGGCTACGGTTAAACCTTTGTCTTGCTGTGCGCCAGCGCCACTTCGGCCGCGGACTTATTCACCTCGCACACGGCAACTACTAGCATCTCTCGAGGTGAATGTGCCGTTTATCATTAGGTTTCAGGAAGGTTATTACTGTAACAATTACATTACAAACGCGCACAGCTGTACCAAACCAGCAAGGTTCAGTTTCAGGGAAATTTGGTCGTTTTGAAGTGACCATTTTTTGTAATTCACTTGACGTTGCATATTTAGACCATTTCACACAAGACTTAATAGAGACGACCAGCTGAGGAGAGTTCATCTGCAAGGTTCTTGTCGGCTAGTGCATGACAATATGTTAAACTACCTCGCGCACTTCGTTAATTCCTACGAGGGTGAGTCTTCTTGCGGAAGTTAATATTTAGGTAAGGTGTCGGACTTTATTTATTAGGCTTATCAGAAACTCCAGCGATACGTCGATCTAAATTTTGGACTGGGCACACTTTAATTGAATGAGACCTCCAACCCCCATAAGTATTTTCAGCACGTGACCCTTCCTTTGCGCTGTTTTCCGACTCTGCTGTTCCAGAAAATCGGACCGGTAGATCTCGTTCAGTTTACATTGAATATCAAATTTCTTGTTTTCTAGGTAATACTTGAGAGACCTCTGTAGTGACATTTGGGAGGGGGGGGGAGGGGGAATCTGTGAGTATGGTGGGGATGGTCAAACTTCCCAGTCAAGCAAATGTCCCTCAGCTTTCAGCACGTGATCCTCGCCACAAAAAACGATCGTCGCCGCGAAAAACGCGTTTCCGTGGGGAAGAAAGAAGTTGAGTCCTCCCAAACGACTCAGATCTTAGGAGATGAGCAGAGTCCAGCGTATGTCACAGAGTCAGAGAGTCGTGTATGACCTGCTGACAGGACGGAAAGAACCGCTCGGGATGGATTTCTTTTCCGTCGGGAGAGGGGTGATACCTTCTTCCGATCCACGTTCGCTTCAGGCTCCGTAGGCTAGTGTTCCCTTGAGAGGAGTTGAATAAGGGTTAAGAGAAGCGCCCAGGATCCATGACCATCCTTCTGCGTGAAGGTCGTTCCATCGCGTAATCATAAGACTACACTCGATTATGGCCCCACTGGTGCTCGCAAAGCTGGCGCAACGGTAGGGAACGCTTCGCTTGCATAGCTAGACCTGAGAACTCGGAAGCTGCTTAAATTGAGTGCTGCCTAACCTTCCGCTACCATTTAAGCTGTAGTAATCGATTGACGTGCCTTGAACACGTGCCTTGAATCAATAGTGTTCACTCTTCTTCACTAGCCGCCTCAAAATCGAAATACCCTGAATCATTCTTCGCGCATTCAAAGTGCTGAGATCATAGGGAGAAATTTTTGGTGGTAGCGACATCCTGATGAACGTAGTCACCTTCTCTTAGCCGATCCGAGATGCTCATTGTTGAGACTGGGGCAAAAAGCCGCATCACTCATGGAGGACTTTCAAGGCACGAGAGCTCACACAGGGAGAAATTCGTTCCGAAAGGCCAGGTGTTGTACATAGAACCTTTGTGAACACGGTATGCTAGCCAGGGGCTAAAACTCTGTATTTCTTTTTCGGTTTTTTTTCTTCAACGGTCTTTCGAGGATGTCGCGAAGACATTATTCCATTGAGCCTCACAAAATACCGAGTCTACCTAGTCTGCAAATTTGACCGCTGCCCTTTATAGGTTCCCCGAAATTTTCACTAACATGGTTCGTCGATTTGGCTCATGACAATACCAAACTGATCTACCGTAGCGACTATGAACTGTACGACTTTTTCCTGAAGAATAGAGATGCGGTATGCGTTTTGAAAGAGTTTTTGGGCTGCTTTCGTAAAATTGTGCTTCCAGCTGAACAACTCTTTCATATTCTTCTTTGGTGATCATGGGCCACGTTTCGGTTCGGTAAGACTTCACATCTTCATTCGGCTCTAAATGAATAATGTTCCGGGAGAGCAGTATCATTATGTGTCCGATGAAATATTGTCCTGTGTCGTTATTCTTTGAGAGGAAGTGTCAGTGATTGCTGTACGCTTGGAATTCAGATGCGCAGCTCTCGTTCTTGCAGTGATAATTGCAGCAAACGGGTGGTCGGAAGGGGCGCGGGCCACGTTGCGATGCTTTGCACGTGCCGACTGATTGCGCGACAAAAACTTTATAAGAGAAAACTTTCGACTAGTTTAAAGAGTTAAGTTTAAAGAGAGAACCATTTCGACTAGTTAAAAGAAGCTCTAATGCGTTGCCACAACATAGATCGTCGCCTTGAGACAGACCACCACTTTCTGGATCGCTGGTCTTGCTGTGGTGTTACGCCGAAGTTCATAACCAACAAGCGACTAGGTGATATGTGCGGACTTCCAACGGACTCTCAGAGAATACGAACAATCGAACTACAACTTCTCAAAGCGGCAAAGAAGTCAAAACGTGATCAGTTGTACTCTTGTTTAAAGAAGTGTGCTGAGAAAGAGATGCACTGTGAACGTTTCGTGCCGGAGCGCCTTTGGAAGAAGATCGTGGGTGAGTCAAAAAACATATGTGATATTGTCCGCTCTAAGGTTAAGACAAGGCTACAAGAAAAGTTCAATAAATTAGTGGAGCAACAACGGTATCATAGATCGCGGGTGGCATCATCTGGTAATTTTAATAATGTTGCTCACACTGATGGTGCTTGTAATGTGGATCATTTACCTAAATCTAGAGTCACGGTTTTAGGCAACATCACTCTCTCCTATGATGCACGGCAATTGTTAGAAATGGGTCCAAGTTTTGCTCCATCACAATCAATAACTCCCAATGTCTTGCGTAAGATTGTGGGTAACCTGCAAGTACTCCATGATCGCCTACGATATAAGGCCAATGCGGAACGGCGAGAAGGGGGCGCAATAGACAATCCAAGAAAACTTCCCACTCTGCCCTTCCCGGTCAATTTTTACCGGCCACAGGAGCCCAACATTGCTATAGATACGAAGTTTCGCATGTTTGCCACTTCTATTTTCAGAATAGTGCGACAGTGTGCTTGCATGCGAACCAGTCCTAATCTCACTCCCTCACAGATGCGAGGTTTCAAAGAAGTGCGTGACGGCATAAGGGCTGGTAGAAATTCGGTTGTCTATCAGTGACAAAGGTGGGGAGTTCGTAATACTCCCACAAGAACTCGACAGAGCGATCACGAGAACGCACCTTCAAGATGAGACCTTATATGGAAAATCATCGGAAAAGGAATACACTAAACAATATCGTAAACTAAACAAGATCTGGTGTAGTGTAGCGAAGGCTGCGGGAATGTCTAGTACCACAATCAATCGCTCAAGTATGACCTACCCACCTGTCCTGTTCTCTATTTACTTATAAAAACTCACAAGCTCACATCATCGGATCTGGCTTCTGAGGACCCTGGCACTTTCAAAGTAAGACCCATTATAAGCAACATTCGGGGGCCCACTGATAAAATCTCTTGGTTTCTCAACTTAATTTTAGGACAGCTTCTTCAGCACGTCCCTGCCCACCTGACTAATACAGGCATGCTGCTAGACAAGTTGTACAGCGCCAACCTTCATGAAGGTTGCGTCATAGAATCATTTGATGTCACGTCCCTGTACACCAATGTGTCGAATGACGCTGCGCTGGAGGCCACATATGAACTGTTATGTGAACATGGATCCTCTCTCAATTTCTACGGATTCACTGTTTCACAAGTAATGACGGTTCTGCGGGAATGCCTAAAGTGTTCTATTTTCAGGTGGGCAGGCGAGTACTATAAACAACTGAGAGGCCTCGCTATGGGACAGCGGTTAGCCCCTGTGTTAGCCATAGCGTTCATGTCCAAAGTCGAGAAACCCGTATTGGACCGTAGACCAATTCTTTTCCATCGATACATTGATGACTGCCTCATCATATGTTCAACACAAGACGAAATGGATGTCTGTTTCAGTCTTTTGAATGAGCAGTCTGAAAACATCAAGCTTACACGGGAAAAGCCCGTGGAGAATTGGTTACCGTTTCTCGATGTTCAAATTCAGTTGCTACGAGAAAGTGTCAGGACCAAATGGTACCGGAAGCCAAGCAACAAAAACATTTTGATACATTACACCTCGGCTCATCCGATGAAAACTAAGAAGGCTGTCGTCCAAAACATGTTCAGGATAGCCCATAAGGTCTCATCAGATAGCGAGTTAAGAAAAGAGTCGTCGAACAGAGCCCACACTATCGCGTTATCCAATGGATATCCTTGCTCTGAGAGGACTCGACGGGGGTATTCCACGTATCGCGGCACTTCTAGAACAACACCGGCCAATAAAGTCCTTTTTTGCCTGCCCTATATTTCTGAACAGGTGAGCAGGACGATTCGATCACAAACTGAAACGATGTGATCTCCAGGACGATATTAGTATTGTGGAAATACCCCCCTGTAACTTAAAACGTCACCTTATTCGCAACCGGCTATATGACACCTTATGCGACACCCCGGATTGTGTTGTATGTCCCTTCGGCAGACCGGGCGACTGCATGAAGTCGGCAGTCATCTACTCGATACATGCCAGAATTGTGGCACAGTGGAACATAGGTGAAACAGGGCGCCCCCTTCGTGTGCGGGTTAAAGAACATCTGGAGGGGCTCAGTAGATCTAGGGTCCAGACTCCACTCGGAGCTCATCGAGTTGAACACCATGGAGGCACGTCATTTGACGTGTCGGTGGTCATCTTAGCGCAGGAGCCCGAGATCACGGCGCGTAAGACATTGGAGGCATTTTGGATCACTGCCAAGGACCCTAAAATGAATAGAAAGGAGGAGTGTGTGGCTGTGACCCGCGAACTCGCGCCTTTCCTCGACCTCTGTAAGTTTTGATCTACCGTGAGGTCGGAGGGTGTAACTGGTAATGGTTAATCCGCATTCAAGTCAACCTCAGGGTGGTCGAGCCCGCACTGCGGCGTCTAGATCAAGGTGAGCCACAACACTATCGATCGATACCGTTGGGTCGTTTTACTAGTTTAGTGAAATTGTCTTGAGAATTGTTGAGACGTTTCAGCGGGCAGGTCTCATGTGTTTTTTGTCCATTTCAGGCTCTGACGAAGGCGAAGACGCCGAAACGTTGGCCTAATAAAGCATTTCAATCTTGTCGAGGCTCGAAGACAAACTACATCGAATATAGTGGAAAAAGAAACCTAATATTTTTGCATGAAAAATAGAGATGCATCCTCTCTGACTCTATGAAAAACTATAGAGTCGGAGAGGATGCATCCTCAGCTGCAAAAATATTTCCGTTCATGAGGTATCGAGCTCACTTCATTGAGCTCGATACCTTATGAACGGAAATATTTTTACAGCTGAGGAAGCATCCTCTCTGACTGCGCTGTAAATCCTCGTCCTTAAAGATATGTTGAGAGAAGATTGGGGCAACGTTTAGACTTCACTCGACGCGAATGATCGCGCATTGCGCCATGGACGCTGTTGCGAAGTCTGAACGCTGCCCAATGGCTACGAGGCGTCATGCTCACATTATGACGACACGGCGAAGCAGTTTTCGTGTGAACGCGAAAATGTTGCAGTGTGTTGAGCGCCACATCGGAAACATGCAGCCAACAGAATCCGGCACTGAGACAGTAAAACTTCAGTCGCTCTGAAATTGCGCGGCATCAGACCCTGGTACAGCATCGAAATGCGGCAAGTCCGCCTATCATTACCTTCCCCAAAAAGGAGCCTCACTTTGCAAACTTCTGATATGAATTGCACAACGTTGACTACACCAGGGCGGTAGTTTCTCATTTTGCCATTCGTTGCCCTCCCCTGATCCGACCCTCCCATGGATTTGTTGCTGCGTGAAAACCGCACCGAAAATTTACATGCGAACTTCATGAATATTTCTTACCTTTGCAGGAAGCTGGCACGAAATTTGGTGTTCGCGAACAGAACAATCCATTCCTCTATGTGGTACTGCCAAAGCATTTGCGACATAAAAAAGTTTATCAGCAGATGTTGAGAAACAGTCAAGAACTCGTCACTCATCACGATCTTCATTCCACCCTCGAGGATATCCTCTATGTGAGTATTTAACATTATTCAATACTTAACAGTTTTTTAATGCGTTTTTTCCAACCTGAAAATGACCAGCAATCCTCGGAGTGAATGTTAAGCAGCCACCAAGCGGGGCCCAAAGCCCATCTTCACGTCCTGCTGACGTAACAAATAGTGCACTTTCCCCGTGAGCTTGGCTTCAGGCTTGGCTCTGGAGGTGGTCCGAATCACGTGTGTAGCTAAGTTTCACAACCCAGCATTGTTGTGGTAACTCCCATAAATATGAATACCAAGACACACACTCGACAATGCAAGAAATCTCGCTGCATTCAGAATCAGCCTTCGACGAACTTCTCGGATCTATCGTTCAAACGGTTCGACAGTAATCCTCGTGGTTCTTCTTTACTCCGGCAGTTCGAGATTGGCGTCGAACGCACATGCAAAACATTACCAATACCGTTTCAATACTGCATATGTCAGTACAAGAAGGAGAACGTCACGTGAGTTCCGCAGGACTAAAGGAGAAATTCCTATGGTACGGTGGGAGGGGCGGCCTGGGCGCAGCGGTGCATGAAAGGCGAAGATCTCAG